CAAGTGAAATTCCCGGAAGAACGCGTATGGGATTCACAAACAGACGAACTCCCATCACGGCCTGCAGACGAGCCGTCGTCTGCCATTCGGCGAGGCGCCCAGGAATTGTGTACTCTAGGCCAGTGCGGGCAGCGAGTGTTGCGCAATTTCTGCGAAAAGCCGGGAAAATATTCTGAAGAATATGCATTACTTGGGAGCAGCGTCAGGCACGCTAGACAATACGGATGTGTGTGACACAGACCTGATTATGGGCACCTTTAACAGCAACTGAAGCACAAGGACCGATGATGCAGCACGCCGTATTCGGATTTGAAAACAAGCGGTCTGAATCCATGAGTTAAAATAACCATCATTTCGATTTCTAGATTCATTTTGCAGATCCAAAATAAATAGCAACGCGCACCAGACTAGCCGGTGCGATCATGCATTTTGTGCAATTCAACCCATCGAACGATTGCCTTTTAATGATTTCCACTATTTTGTACTTTAGTCTATGCAAAAATAATTCAAACATTGGAAAACAGTTAAAAATCTCACGCATCAGAGCATGAAAGCTGAATCCGAAACTTCTTGAAAGATGGACATCTTTCCGTGATTCTCGAGTTAATAGTTTACCCGCCAAAATCTTCACGAGGCCGTAGGTGATACTCAAAAGCGCTGGAACGGTAAATTTGAATATGCAAGGTTAAGCGTGGGCAGGGGGTCAGTACCCTAAAATTTCAGCCTCCTAGATTCCGTGGTTCCCGAGATATTAACTTACCCGTGGAAAAATTTCACGGGGCTGTACGTGTTACCCGTGGGTACGGAGAAGCTGAATTTAAATTTGCGGGGTCACACGTGGGTGGGGAACGTCCCCCTAAATTTTCAGCTTCCTAGCTTTTGTAGTTCCCGAGTTAAAAGTTGTGGACAAGTTGCTGCGGACACACACACACACAAACACACACACAGACAACCCCGTGGCAATATGCGTTTTGTACTGCTGTTACACAGCACAAAACGCATAAAAAGCATGTTGTGATAACCGACGGTGTATGTATGTGTGTGTATGGTGTGTACGTGTGTGTGTGCGCATCTACCCGGGTATTTCAACTCGGCAGTCAAACAAGCTCTGACGCTGGAGTTCCGCCAGTGGTTTACCTGGCCACGTGCGACCCACGGACGTGGTACCAACTTTTACGTATGTCTGAGCACGCAGCGCGGGCACATGAAACCTCTGGCCGGAAAATCATTAGTTTGGGAGCGACAGAAGCTGGCGAGCTGAAATTTTAAGGGGATGTTCCCTGACCATGTGCAACTTAAGTATTTCAAATTCACCCCCCGGGCACGTGTGGTTTTCACAGACGGGCACGTGAAAGTCTTAGCGGGAAAAC